ATATTATGAAAAAACAGGCATTTTGTTTCGATTAATTTTATTGATCGTCCTTTCCAAATTGAAAGTAATCCTTCTCAGATAAGGAGTAAATTCCGCCAGAAATTGTCAATTCATACCAAAAGGAATATGTTCCAAAGTTTCGACTTTCTAAAGTCATCATCAGGGTAGGTAGACACAAATAGCGAGTTTCCTAGAATTGGGGAGTGTAGTGACGTGGGTAAAGAGTGTTGTGATTTAGGCGAGGTGTGATGCGTGTGTTTTACATATATAAACACACATGCATTGTGCTATATATATATATATATATATATATATATATATATAACACGCATAAAAAGTGAACATTGAAGTCAGCACTTAAAGGCGACAGATTTCTAAATGCAATCATCAGGCATTCACTGTTCACTTTTATATTTACATACGCTCTATAACTGATATTGAGCAAAAATAAAATAAAAAATACATATATAAATACTACGTTACTTAAAAATCGAAAACAGAAAAGAGAAAATATAGAAGTAAAATAAATTGACCTAAATTCATCCAAGTAAATAAATAAACTAACCAATCCAGATAAAGTTACCGTTAGAAAAAAACAAATAAAGATAATCAACCCAAATAAACAAAAATTAAAAACTGTTTCTGCCAAAATAATAGTTAGAATAAAACTACAACAACCAACCCCAAAACGGAACAAATAGCATTAATTAAATTCTCAAACCAAAACAAAACTATTAAAGAAGTGATATAAACAAATTTTTACTACGTTAATAAAAAACACCGATTAAACAATAAGTAAATAAATAAATAAAATAAGAAACAAAAAATAAAATTAAATAAAAACAAGCAGAATAATTTAACCTAAATAAATATATAAACGACTTCTGGTAAAATAACCGCCATAATAGACTACCCACAATGCACCACTGACCCGTATATGTATAAATAGCCGAGAAAAATAACAGCACACGTGGCCTGAGGATTGCATATAGCATGAAACAGCCTGTCGCCTCTAAGTGTTGACTTCTATGTTCACTTTTATATTTACACGCGCTTCATCTCTGATATTGAGCACTTTATCCCATAAATATAGCACACCTTAAGACTATATTTCTTTATATATATATATATATATATATATATATATATATATATATATATATATATAATAGCTGACCGCTTGTATCTGAACATGCCGGTCTACTATGGTGGCTAGCCAATCCCTGTTACAGACACCTACTCAGATTTGTGTTTCTTCAACATTCACAGAGCCAATCTATGATTCACACTTCAACTATGCTAAGTGAACCTTTGTTACAATTTTTCTATAAGCGCACTATCTGGCATAATCAGCAGTCTGAACAAGGTCAGTACACTCAAACTCTCGGTCACAATGACTGATGATTTCGTGCTAACACAATCATCGATTGCTCCAAAATATTTCTGTCTCCCCAATTCCATCAGAAGATTTTGGTCAACCCTTGGTTTCGAGCGTTGCCAAATGCTGGAATCTTTTCCCTAGGCCAAAAACAAGTCAGCCATGATGAGATTCAAACCCCGATCTCATAGTTGAAATGAAAATGACTGAAAGAAAAACGAACGAATGGAAATTTCTGTGGCACTGTAATTGAGTTCATCCATCTTTATAAGTTCCCTCCAGGTCCCAAGTGGAACATTATATACGATCCGGGACTAAAGACGCCAGGAAAAATTTCGGTTTCTTGTGTCGCCCCAGGAAGTACCTGAAGTTCTGGCTTTGACGATATCAGGGCCTCCGATCGAAAGATTGGAAGATTTGAGGAGGCTGGAACTAAATTTTAATTGTTGTTGTTCCCAGGTACGCCCTGACCTGGGATGTTAGCACCTGTTAGAATCCCAGCTATGGGCAAATAATGAATCACCAAAACAAAAACAAAACAATATGAAAGTATAAAAATTTATAGCAAAATGGCCAACAATACATTCGAACTATAGTTGAAGGAATGTAATTGCGTTCAAAATATATTTAGCTGAAGCCATACAATTGTCTTCAAAATATTTAGATTTCGGCATTAAATAACCCATAGACGTGTTGATATGCCGCTAAACAAAATCAGATCAGATCAAAAATGGAGTATTGCTACGATATCTGGACTGGATCTATCCAGTCTTTGCTTGACATAGTTCATAAGCGCTTACGCGGCATTGTCGGCAATGAATTACCCCCCACCCCAATAACCGCTTTCCAACAGTCACATGATCACAAGTCTATCGCTATTTCGATGACAAATGTTCTGACGTGTGACATTACTTATTTCCACCAGTTCGTGTCTTTACAGCTAGGACAAACCACGGTACGCACACACCCTTATTCCCTTCGTATTCCATTGGTAAAGAAGAAGTCCCACTCAGCTTCTTCTCTAGAATAAGTACTTTGTCGAATAGACTCCCGAGGGGATGCTTCCTCGCTCACTAGAAGTAGAGCGTCAACAGATATCTATCTTTCATATCCTAATAATCTGTACTTCCTCTTGCGTCCATCTCATTTAGTAGGACGCTACCTTGAGCGACTCTTGTATTGGGTGAACATTTTAGAGAATTATGTTCATTTTGAAATATCTTTGTGTAATGGGATTTTGTTTTTTAAGAAGGCGTAGTTTTAAAAACAGATCTTTTCTTTCTGTGGGCGGGTAACGTTGTTGAGTCGCTTCTAGCGTCGCCGTTGATTTTGCTAGCATCAGTGGGGGTGTGTCACACTGCGCAGTGGGGGTCTTGTTCTTCTTTGGTGCCTTTGAACATCAATGGTATTCCATCGTCGGGCCGCGTTGTTCCAAGAGAAGCATCTCAGATAAGAGCACAATTACGACACCAAATGGAAATTTTTCAAAGCGATCGTCGATCGCCAATCAACTATGATTTACATCATCTGTCATCGTGTGTACCAGAAACTACATCATTTCTGTGTGCGCATGCTCATTTCTTTCTTTCTTGCCGCAATTGAAGTGGAACTGATAGTCTCCTCCATCTTGATTGCAAGAATAAGCGGCAAAATAATCGTTTCATGGCCCTCTTACAATTACAAGACAGCAAACAACAATAGGGAAGACAAAAGAAGACCATCTTGTTGACAATATATATATATATATATATATATATATATATATATGTCGAAGAGAGAACATCTAATTATGGCTAA